TTAATCAGTACTTCCACTTTTACCAGAGTATTTTTTAACACAAGTATCTGTACTTTTACTCAAGTACGGAAAGTGATTACTTTTGCCATCTCTGCTCATCAAACAAAGTTGCCTAATATTTTAATTAGGTTGATGTGTATGAAAACAAGACAAACTAAACATTTTCAGTCTGACTTACCTCTAACTGTCAGTCTGAAGGCATCACTCCAGTCTGTTATCTGGTAGTCTCCTTCAGCCCTACACTGGTATGTACCACCAGACTCAGTAGCTGTGTTGATCCTGTATTCACTGGATGTTGGAGAGTTTCTGTTGGTTGGTCTCCATTCATACGTCCACTGAGCTCCTCCATCTCCATGGATCTCACATCTCAGAGTGACTTTCTCTCCTCTGAATATTGGAGACCAGTTGGGTTGAAGGGTCACAGTGGGCTTAGAGACTGGAATAAATAATATTAAGTCAGAATACTGATATAGATGTATATTAAACAGAAATTACAATAAAATTAATTGCTATGGATAACAATTTAATCTTAACCATGAAAATATTATATAAAAATAATAAAAATGTTATTTGATGTGTTTCTTTCTAATAATACAATATTAAATATCTAAATCCCAAAAGCAAGATGTTTCATAGCTAATATATAAAAATGAGGAATTATAAAGACAGATATAAAGCAGTAAGCTGTCACATCTAGCACTGAGATAACCATTTCTACCAACCTCTCAACATATAAACTAACAGTATGAACTAAATCACTTCAGCAAAGTTTTCTAGCATCATGTGTCACAGATTACTTGGACCAGGTATTATATATGTGAATTTATAACTGTTCTCTACCTTCAGACCTGAAAATATCTGTTGTTCTAAAGCTGTCTGCATTTGAAAATGTTTGAGCTTGAGTGAAAACAGAGTAAAAGTCATTCCCAGTTGTTTCAGTTCTCCATTGTGTTACCTTCACACTAGAACTATTACATCAATCTGACCAACTACATAGTTCACAGAGGGGTGTAGGGTGTAGTGTGGACATTGGGACCAGACCCTTCTCTGCATACTGAGGAGGTAATTCATCCATTTAATTCAGGTGTTTGAAGCAGAGACACATTTAAAGTGAGCAGTACACCAGACCTCAAGGACTGGAATTAAAGATCTCTGATCTACTTTATGCCAGAATTGGGAATCACCATTGTAGATTAAATATCATATTTTCATCTGTTAGACTTTGTTACTTTGGGGATTCATTTTATAGATTCAAACATCTGTATTATTGAGCATCCAGACGGCCCATGAATAGCTCCAGAACTAGTGTTCATCTCCAGTGGTTATTGTGATAGAGGTCACCTTTCTATCACAGAGCAAATCAGAGACACACTCATACAATATAGAGACTGTAACAGAGGGTAGATTACAATAAACACATAAAAAATAATATGTTCATCAAACAGACAAACTGTATCTAAAATGTTTCGAGTTATCAGAGATAACCAGTTTGCTATCTGAGCTTTTAAACTACATTAACACATATTGCTGTATTATGTGCATAGTTTTGTTAATGTCTATCATTTCTGTATCTGCTAAAGGTTTTCTCAACAGCTTAATAATTTGGTATTGAAAATCTGACTTTAACCAAAATGATTACATAATACTAATGATTAATAGCTTGGATGTGAAGAGAGAGTTAATTTGGCCAGATTAAAATAAGATAATGAAACTAAATAACATAATAAAAAAAATAAATTTAAATGTCATTGCTTGTTTTTGTTGTAAAAACTGGATCTCAATTACAATTTTCATTTTGTATCGAGCTCTCTTTTGTTGGAACTGATGGATTCTTAAACAGCACTGATTAATAGCTGAGATACAAAGAGAGCATTGGTTTACCCCAGAATAAAACAGTAATCTCACCTGTTTTCCAAATAGAGATTTCTTTGCTTGTTTCTGTTGTAAAAACTGGATCTCCTCTTCCTCCTCTGCAGCTGTATAGACCTCCCTCTGAGATGCTGATGACTCTGTATGGATCAATGTTTCCTCTGGTCTGGTCTACAGAATATTGTTGCCTATTTCTGAACCAGTCAAACTTCCAGTCAGCAGATCCATCCACAGAGCAGGTCAGTCTAACACTGCCCCCTGGTGGTATGGTTGTTTTCTCTGCTGTCAGTGTGGCTCTGGGTTTATCTGCTGTTAGGTTGAAAACAAAAGGTAGAAAAATATCACATCATC